CAAATCTGCCTCTTCTTTGTGGAGTTTAATAAGCCATCCAATGCAGAACAGACAGCGTGCTCTATATACAGATAGACGCAGGCCTGCTGGAGACGAACAGATAGTGATCTCTGCTGTGACAGCTCCAAAGTTAGGAGAGGCACTCAGGCACAGAGGCAAAACTCATGCATAAAAAAAGAAGACAAACGGGGAAGTGCACTTTGACACGGTGGATATGCAAAGCTACGTCTGCAAGGCCCACGAGCTGGTGAACAGAGCAGACCCTGCAAGGCGTGCTGCAAGTGGGTGCTCTGAGGAGATGGAGCGACCGATGGCTTTTGTACCACAGTCTCGTTCAAAAATAGGTCAAGGATTCTGCCTGCACGCATAGCAACTTGTCAGAATTTCTCAAGCTAAAGCAGGGCTGAGCCTTGCTGCTGCTTGAACAAGGGACCTCCAAGGAGCAGCAGTCAAGGATACAGTCAACAGTGGTGACAATACACAACCAATACACAACCAAAGCAGCCCCCCTCCCTTCCACACCTATCTATTGAAAAACAGACTTCACATTTTCATACTACTGTCCACTGCCAGGCAGCACTGTTCTTTTTTCATAAATGTTAATACTGTGAGATCTCAGAAACCAGTGAGAAATCAGGAACCCAGGATCGAAGATCGCAATGTAATAGCACTGGGGACTCAGTAGGGGGCAGACATGCCCCATCTGTGGTCACGGCTCTTACAATGCATCTTTGCACAAACAAGGGAGTAGTGTGCAACTGCGTTGACCGCCCTCTGGATAACTCCTCAAGTCTGTTGTTTTTGGCTTTCTGATTTAATGTCCAGCTGCTCCAATGGTCAAACGATTCAACAACAAAATGAATTTAGATTACTGGACAAAGAAGCACAGGGGGTGACTGCAGCCTGAGGTACAGGGGCTGACAGAAGTACAGAGGTATGACCTAGAGCTGCAGCTGTCAGACCAAGGATTTTGCTGGTGCACTTAACAGGGAAAAATGCATGCAAACACTGAACTGCAAGAAATACTTCAGTTGCGTACTGTGCTAACTCTGGCTGGTTTTCTGATCTTTGCCTATATTTTTACTGAATTATTTTGTCTATTTGTTGCTTCCTGGAGACTACAAATTTTAAATAATGAACAACACACATAAAACAAAGATGATGGCCAAATCTAGTAATAGTTTACAAAACAGGCTATTCAAATAACGGTTATATTTCCCTACTGGATTCAGACAGCAAGACTACTGCAAAAGTTGACAAACCAGAATGTCTTTCCATTCAAAATTCAAATACATCAACAGCATGAAACTACAAAAACTTGAGATATCCATAAAAAATTTAAAAATCAGCATCCATAGTCCAGAGTATGTTATTTATGTAAGATAGGTTAGCATGTGATAGGTAATTCACTTAAATCAAGCAGTCAGTTGAGGAAAAATCTTAAGATTCTTCTATATATGGAGGAGGAAATACTCTGGTAGTTCAAATTTATGGTTTATGCCTGGGGGAAAGAGGTTTTGTAAATTTGCTAAAGCACCACCCCCCAAAACAAAAAATACACATGCCACTGGAAATCAGGAAAGTGGACAGACAAATACCACAATATAACACAGCTAAATTACCCAGCTGGAAACAGTTAATGTAATGAACTGCCATAAGCAAATCAATAGATTAAGATCAAGGCACTGTAGGCAAAATCCTTTTAACCAGGGGAGACCATCTGAACAGAAACCAAAGCAACTGGTCGACACGATAAGGATGTAACTGCTCAAAAGAGTAGGTAGGAACTCATTTGGTTTGCATGAGTTTAAGTACCAAATAATACAGAAAAACGGCTACAGGACGGAGTAGCTGTATGCTTATAGTCTCTATTGTCTCAATTTTCTTCAGCTTTGTATCATTAACCGTATTGATTAAACAGTCTGCAGTCTTAAGATCCAGAACTGCTCCTGATCCAGCCTATTTTCTTCTCTCTTCTAAGAACTGATCCTTTAAAGAAACAACTTCCAGCAGAATGGCAGACTGATATCATTGTTGAGGGCTGGGCTATGAAGCATTTAAGGAACCACACAGACAATTTATTGCACAGTACACAAGGATGTACAGTAAGCGTGCTAAACACAGCACTGATCCGCACTTTCTAGCACTTGCTGAGGGGAACAAGCGAAAACCCGAAGAATTATAAATGTCAAGTAATGGCTGTCGAGCAACTGAACTTAAAATATTTTTTTTAATGATACTTTTGAATAGAAGGATTCCAGTAAAGAAAATTAGATTCAGTTGCTTTGGTTTACTAGATACCATACCCCTTTTACTGTATCATTTGTGGCCGTCTTGAGTCAACATATAAAAAAGAGGATGTTTGTTTTGCAGTGCTGTGGTTTGTACCCATAAAGAGCTCACATAGTACTGCAACATACAGAGCCTTCTAATTTACAGCTCCTTTAAAAAGTGCAGAAGTCAGTCTGTGACACCAATAAACTGAGAGTCTACATGAAGAGTGAATCAATTTATTAACTCTCCTAGGCATTACTGGCGAGGTGAGAAAACACAGCCATACTGTACCTTCAAAGAAAAAAAGTCATAAAAAATGAATAAAAGTAAAGAAAACTCAGGATAAGATTAAATTTTAATCTGCGTTTGCCTTGTGTACACTCAGAAATACGAGGGCAAAAGTGCACTAAGAATTAGGAAAAAAGAGAGTAAAATATAAAAATGATTTATTCCTTAAATTAGTGATCTTCTTTAACAAGCTACAAACTTCAATTGCACAGTGCGCTGTTCAGAGCGTGTGCTTCGCGTGCACATACTGTACTATGCAGTAAAGTAACACATAATACAGTACAACAATATAAATTTAAGGCAAGCAGATCAATTTTAAATATATTTTTTATTCCGTGTCCAAATCTGAGTGATATGGTTTCTGCAATAATGTCATGTTCAATATTCAAACACAGCAGTGTCATGTATGATGCACTGCGGAGTCAAAAGCTTTCTTTGATATTTACTCCTGTAAGATCTAAAGCTCAAAGAAGTGTCCCACCGATGTTCTGATAAGTCTATGTTATCTGGCTTAGACTTTAGAGCTTTTTTAAAATGGAATAAAGTGGAGTTTTTTCTAGAGATTTTGGACTAAAGAAGTTTCAGACTTCAAAGTTTTTGTGTGTCTGTGATAAAATATGCTATTGGCATGTGGTTTGCCCATTCTTGTAACCCAGCAATTTTCACTCAATTTTTGTGAGTCAATGGTCGAAGGTCAAAATGTTGTTTAACGATGCAAATGGATATTTAAATAATTATGTGCAGAGGTCATGCATTGTATAAAAAATTATCTTAGTAAATCTTTGTTAAGATAAAGGGGTTTATTATACAAACTGCACACTTATTGTGCACTCTTCTAATCACAGCAGATGGAAGTTGTTTTAATGCAAATGCCAAGCAATTTTCTCCTTAAACTGCATTTATTATCTACAGAGCTTGTGTCAAACACGACTTGCAACCTAACTACTCCATACAGGAAAATGAAGATTTGTGGGTACATCTGCTATTTCACTGTCACCGACAGATGAGATGAACGGTCCTGAAACAGAGGAGCTGGAACTCTGAATGATTCCAGTTGGCAACAATACATCAGATTCCATTTGCAAAAAGGGAATCACATCATACCCTACAGAGTCTGGGACCAAAAGACAACACACAGGACTTTGTTTATCGCTGGGATCAGGTGTAAGGGGGAAACATAATCAATTCATAGAAGAACCAAAGATAAATTATATCAGCTCTTTTGACGGTGATTATGTGTCCTTGTTATGCAGTGTTGCCTTCATCTTTAACCACAAAATATCCAGGGAATCTAATTTGGGGTCTTAATTCAAAGAATCAAGATGATTACATCTCCAGTTGATTCACTGGAACCAAAAGCCAAAATCAAATCTTGTGTTTACAGTATACAACAGATAGGCATTATTTCAGGTTGTGTTAAAAAATAGCCGGACCGCTCCTTTCACGATTTCAGAAATTGGTTGTACAACAGGCAGAACTATCCTATCTCAGAAAACAATCCGAATCCTAAACCTTTCTACACCAAATAACGTGAACAGTTCAGCCAGGTACTTCACTGCCTCGAAGCACCTTACTGGTTTGAAGAGCAGATTCTCAGTCAAGGTTATATTAATGCCTCGTGGTATTACATTACTTCCGACAGAGTCTTAATATTTAGCAGAAAATAAATATCATGTTAACAAAATAGCATGTAATGTTACTAACTCAGCCAATAAATAATTGAGTGAAATATTTCCACAGTACAACGCGAATCCTTAATTCGCGCAGACAGGCATTTCTAAGAAAGAACAATGCCATCTGAAAACCGTGTTACTGTACAGGCAGATAAGCGAGTATACACTCACGTGTAAAATGTAAAATGTAACGAATAATAAATAAGAGTTGGTCTTTAAAACATTGGGGTTTCCTTCTTGTCAAAACCATGAACATGATCACATGTGGGTATCTACACTACATTCTGAATAAATTCTTAATTACATTCTGTATTCCGGACAGTTTTAAAGAAAATGTATTATAAAGAAAAAATACAATTTGCCACAGCATCATACTAAGTATAAAGACTACAAAGCGTTGAGAAAATGACAAAAAAAAATAAGACACAATCCCGTTAACAGAGAGTTTTAGAAAATCATTTCAACTGGAATGCCAAAATGTTACTGTAAGTGCTTAAAATATTTCAAAAGCTCCCCCTGTTCTTGGTATAATAAACTCCATGCACCATCAACATGTCACATCGGAGGAATTTAGTTTGTTGCCGTATTGTTAGTAAAAATATTAAGTCAAAATGTGGGTTTTGGAACAGTTATTTACCGTACAGTAAGTGAAGCACGATAATATTTAACATGACTAAACCAAAATGCTTAAGTACTAGAGGCTAAATTCATTCTTGTTTTATACTACCGGCACATGCGATGTGTCCACTGGTTCAAAACACTCACCATTCAGCATCAAGATGGGCTTGCGTTTCTTTCTTAAATCAGTCAATTTACGTTGTGCGGCTTTCTTCCTCTCCTCCAAAAAATGCCCGTTTCCTAGTTAATTCCACACCGAAGTGCTCAGAATCCCACGGTAAGTCAGCTAGCTGTCAGGTATGGACGGAACACGGCACGTTCGTGCACAATGTATTCCTTCAGAATTCGTGGAAAATCTTGGCAAAGCAACGCTGGTTCATTCATTCAGCTCCAGCACACCAATAACTGTGCCTCGCGCTTGCTTGCTTGCTTTAGGATTATATATTGATATTGGCATTTAAGCATGTTCCTTATTGTCAATTGTCATTCAAAAGACTTGTAATGGTTATTTGCAGGAGGCGGGCTGTGAGGTTGAACATTCCTTCAGTTTAGAAGACAGTCCCTTCTAATTTCGCCTTTATTTTGCCTTGCCATCGTACGTTTTCCTTGGTATGGGTTACAACCTCCCTGCAGAAATTCACACACACATATTCCCCCCTCTCCGCCGAGCTTTAATGCTAGACTGGCACAGTGCTAGCCGAACCACGGGCAGCACACAGTACTCTACTCACAGCACAGCGTCAGACCCAACCCCCTGTCTTCTCTTAGCATACGGACTCATTTGCATGCAGTCTATTAACCGTTTCGGGGACCAGCGCCGCTGCTATCCTTTTCATTTGCTATTATTAATTCCCAGTTTTTTTTTTTCCCAAAAGCGGCACCACATCAAAAACTAGTAGTAAGGCGTTTTTCTCGCCTGCTAATGCAACTGTTAACCGGGGTATCTCGGCATTACCGCTGCTTCTAATATAACTTCCGAAATGTACCATTAGTTTAAGGATAATATCACTGATTTCGCTTCGCAAAGGACAGCTAACGGCTCAGCCGACGCATGGGCATGTTCATGCTGTTTCACACATTCATCTCTGCGTTTCAGGGTTATCTCACCCCTAGCGAAATTACATCCACTGTAGCCTAAAATTTACCCTTTTCATAAAGCTTTAAAGTTTCGGCTGTCATACTGCTACCTTAACCCCAGAGCTAACAGCGAACATTCTGAAAAGGTATTGGATTCTCAGGGCTGAAACTCCATTATTATTATTATTATTATTATTATTATTATTATTATTATTACAGCTGTAGGAAGCAGTTCTCCTGTGCTTATTGCTTCTCACAGTAAACTAACTCGACTCCTTTAGCTTCTTTTTTCTTGCTGTTCACCGATCAAGATAAAAGAAATGTATAGCCTGGAGCCTGCCCGTTCTTCACTAGTAGCCTATAGCGTTCTTCGCGATGTGGACCACTGATGTCGCTGCGAAGGGTGAAAAAGGAATGATAGAATGTGTATTTTAAAAGGTCTCCTGTCTAAGATACTTAAAATAAACTCGAATCATTCTCTGGCTCCATTGACGCTAGTAAGAGGCAAAGAAATGAGTTTAACCCCATTACAAGATAACTTTCTGACAGGCAGTTTGCAGGAATTTTAACTGCAACGCCAACCAGTATATTCTTTACTATCTCTATTATTCAATCTGTCTTGAGTAAAGAGTAAGAAATAAGTTGTGCTACATAATTTCATGACGCTTTTTATTTCTGATAAGAAAATAACATACAGTGTAATTCCAACTTAATGCACATGTAAGAGTGGTCCTCTAAAAATAGCACAACTGCTTTTCCGCAAACAACGAATCAGACACTCAGAGAACATTAATATACAGTAATATATGTCAGATTAATTTCCACTTCCTGTCATAATTCACTTTTCTTATATCATTAATGTGATGTGTTTAGACAGTAAGAATATACAGTACTTTCGTACAAATAATTTGGACCCCCATCACCAACAATTTCACAAATTTGCGGTATATGTAATATAATAATAGTACTGTATGTGAATTCGATCGTCCAATCAAGTCGTGTCCGTTAGGATTTACGGTGAATTTACTAATGTAATGCAAATGTTTCTATAGATTCTAGAGTAGCTACAGAAACGCATTCACATTCATACAGTATATACTGTACATATCTGTGTATGGTCATATGCAAAACACCCCCAGATGTAAAGGTACTGTGTAATATATTGGATCTTTCACCTATATTCACTGAAGAACTTTAATAGTAAAGATTTTAACTGAAATTTAAAGTATGTTCTTTGATGTATATCAAATGACAAGGTGACATGACTTTAAACTTTGAGGAAAAAAAAAAACATATAAAATAGGCTACCAATGCTTCAGTTGCTTGTAAGAGACCAGTAACAATGGAATGCACATTTCAAGATTTTGAAGACGCGTGGAATCGAGTGATGATTTAAAAATAAATGTTCCTTTGATTAGATTACCTAGCAAAACACAATTCTACTACATAATTCTAAAAAGCGACTTTAGCAACGAGTTTATCATAAAGGAACAGCGTTTAAAGGTGCTTGTATTAGCATACATTACCCAACAACTGGATGCGCTCGTTGTCGCCAGTACTGCGCTGTATTCTCTGTGCCTAAGAGCTGAGCCTCATCTGAAAACTATCGAAATGGTGCCACCTATGGGCGGAATGTAAGAATTGCACGTTTGTTAATCGTAAATCGTACTACTATTGTGGTCCTTATGAGGAGAACGGGATTATTATAGGAAAGAAGGTCTCTCTCTCTATCCATCTACGTTTGTCTGCTGCACTGTAGATGGATACTAATAAACATAACTGTATGTGAACTTCTAGACTAATATCTACAAAATAACTAAAGTGAAGGTGGAATTATAAACATGAGAAAATATAACTAAACAAAAGGTATATTACTTGATCATAACTGCATGGTGCTTTTCAAAGACCCCAAAAGGATTTACATAAGGATGGTGATCCGCTGAAGTGCACGTGGCTGGTGCACAACAATCCCACTACACAACAGATATGGTCAAAAACCGAGAAATTATGTCACTAATAGGGAGGTCAGATTATTTAACTCCAAATTGGAGTTTAGTCAAGACACCGCAGTTAACACCCATACTCGTACAGAAATGGTATTGGCTCTTTAATAATTAATTTATGGAAGTCAGGAGCTCAATTTAACATCTCATCCAATGGGGAAGAGTAAGGAATGAACAACGTACCTGAAGAAGGCTCCACTGCCTGAAACGTTGTGTTTTCTTTCCTCTCATTTCAGCATGGAATAAACCTATTACTTGTTCCTTTGCAGCTTACGCATGCTGATGCAGCTACCCACCTGAACTACTTCTACCTATAGTGTGTTGTACTCCATTATGTTCCAAAACATTAGGCATTCAATTCAACTAAAGTATCAAAATATGGTCTGAAAAGCATTTAATCCACTTCTCTTTCCCAATTTTATAGATAAATTTAGGAAGCAGTGGTAAGGGTTCTGAGCCTAAGAGCTGGTAGGTTATCTGTTCAAATCCCAGGTGAGACACTGTTGTTGTACTGTTGAGCGAGGCGCTTTACCAGACTTGCTCCATTAAAATACACATCTGTAAAAATGGGTGCAAATATAAATTGCTAAAGATTAAAGTATCAGCCAAATAAATTAATAATCATAATTAGTGATAATGAAGTTGTACTGTAAGAATCTTCCACACATTCCTGGCTGTTCAGACACACCTGTCTGCACACAGAGGCTTAATGATCTAACTGCTGCTAATGAGTAATTTGATCTTACCTAGATTAAAGAGTCTTCTGAAACACAGGTTAAATTTTTGTGATCTGGTGTAATGTGAGCTTTTCCTGTTTTAAGATTAGGGCAATGAGTCATGAAAGAATTTTGAAGTTGTTCAAAACTTGGAGACTTAACATCCTGAGTGAACTGAGGCACCGAAGTGGTTAAAACTGTACACACTTTGTAGATTAAACAGACAGTAATGTAATATCACATTTGAAACGGATCGCAATGGGTACTATCAAGCCCTGCTCAGATTTAATGAGATTTTTTTAAAACATGGCTACAGTCCATATTTCCTGTGAGATAATAATAAAGGTCCAAACAAATACCACATAAAAACGAAACATCTATCTCATTTCTTTCACTGAAAATATTGGTTTCTGTCACTCATTAAGTGTAGCCTGCCACTGTAGTTCCAAACCACAGTTATATTAAACTGGGAATACTGTCTCTTGTTAGGAACAACTCCAGTTTAAAATTAAATGTATGCTGAGAACAAAGGGGAACTGGTTTTGTTGTTTGCTTTACAAATCCTAACCCAGACAATGCAAATGCATTTAACAGAAAATTAGTTGTTTTTCAATTGACAGGACAGTTAAAACCCATCACAATCTCCAAGAGCCAGTCCTACCCCTAAAGTGTACAGAACTGTTAGAATCAGGCCATGCAGAGAGGCCTGATTCTTTTAGTACATTTAGCACTGCAAGAGATTTAGACACAGCATTGTTTCTGACAATGTGCTGGGTTTGTTGCATGAGAACTCAAACAACGAAGGCTTGTACTTCTTAATGTAAATTGAGAAATTTGTAAGAATTGTAATTGCAAGAATTAGGAGAATGTTCTTGTCAGTTCTATAAATGTGACCTCGAAAGGGCCATTTAAACTTCACAATGTGATGTGGTGGTGGGTTTTGTGTTGTGATGCCAGACCTTAACTTTGAAAAGACACCATGTCATTCTTCAAGGTGGATCCCACAGTTTGCCTACGGTGTTTTGAGCCGTGTAAACTAATTTGACTGGTTTCAACAATGCCTGGACAACATGCACAAGAGGAAGGTCTTCGTATGCATTATGTAAGCTAAAAACATTCCAAAGGTCACCAGTCACTGGAGCACAACTGACTGATTGGGTCAATGCAAAATATGCTACATATTTTTCCATCCAGAACAAATTAAAACAACCTGGAAAGAAACTGATGAAACGGGCTAAATTAACTTTTTTTTTTCAGGATCTACAACACACCGATGAGGACATGGTATACTGAAGAACCCTTCATCATTCTTGACAACTCAAAATCTTTTAGTGGCAGAGCCCTTCTATACTGTACATATGTACAGATGCACCTAAATTACACCTAAATGAGATTGGAATCGCAGAAACAGAGCTAATAGAAAATGATGGAGATGAATGTAGTATTATGGATAGAAGAGTGGAGGTGCAGTATTATGTATAAAAAAGAGTATTCTTGTCAGGAGCTAAAGCTAGGGGAATCAAGAGTCTCGGAACCTACAATTTCCAGAGGTATAGTTCTAGGAGTATGCAATAGACCACCAAATGCAGATATTGATTACAGTTCAATACTGTATAATGAAATTAAGAATCAACATGTTAAAGAAGAAGTTGTTTTAATGGAAGACCTCAACTTTTGCCACATACTGTAGACTGGTGAAAACCTATAGAAATGTCAGCAGCTGAAAGTGAAATGGTAGACTTGGTAATGTTTTCTTACTCAGTTTGCTGGACTGCCTAGGAAAGGAAATGCTTGTACATACTGTATATATATATTGTCTTTTCAAACAATCAAGACTGAACAAATCATACTCAAGGAATCAATATATTTCATTCAGAAGCCATTAATGCAACTCTCCCAATATTT